CGCGAAATCGTGAGTCAAGCCTACTCTTGCAAATGACAATTGTAGGCCTAAACATCACGTAGGCCTACTAAACAAATAAAACTACCGTGTGTCCCTCCCTTTCGTGGATAAAACTACAATCTTAATTAAAATAATTTTAATTGAAATAACCTATGTTAATTAAGGGATATCTTTAATGACTTAAGACTGTCACAACCAGGACGTTTTTTATTATCATGCAAACAGCCATGAATGCGAGCCAAAGGATGAAGAAATGCCTTTCAAGAACACGGGGGAATACTTTGTGGTTTTATTTGACGCGCAATTGGTATTATAATTTTTATCAGAAAAAAAAAAGAAAAGAACACCTGGTAAACGCGTTAGGCGAACACCTCTCTTTCGTGGGTGAAATACAATCAAAATAAAACAGATGAAGCCTTAACGAACTATATTCGAAACAACACAAAAATTTTCCTATACGATTAAACATAGTTTTCTCGATTCATTTACATCTCGTGCTGGTACTCGTACTTTCACCCATATTTCGTCCTTTTCGCTCGTGTAAATAGCCCGACTTCTTTCCATTCGAGATCAATAGGGCCTACAGTCACTTTACAAACACGTCCTTAACAGCCTATGTACAATGAAATGATGACTAATACAGAAATGAGGAAACCGCCTGAAAAGCCAGAGGACCTGTAAGATTTTTGATATCGCAGGTCCTGGCAAGGTTGNTGAAGTAGAATTGCAGTAGGCTATACTGCATTTCTATTGCAAATATGCTCCACACCACTATACTGCGTTAATGCTTCTTTGCTACTTCGATACTACTGCGTTTTCTTGCGGGTACACTAATGAAGTCACAGTATACTTACACGGATAGGATCCTCACGCAAACTGTGCCGCAGTGATCATAGATATACCCCAGCACGGGAAGAGACACTAAGCAGATTATAGCGACAGTGTAAACTAGATTTAGCATCTCTTCCTGCTCAGTACACTTTTGAACCTGATCTGCATCCTGATCTTCTGTGCAATTCCCCAGAACACTACAGGCATGTTCTACCGTGTTAATACTAGCATTGACTTTGGGATCAAAGTGACAACGGGAGTAGTAAAATTTCTCCTCAATGAATATATACACAAATGCTGGCCATCCGAATATCGTACATGAGTAAATGGCAGCTTCTAAGATTCCAAGGGCGGTGCAGAATAGTCTCCAACACGTTGTGCGTGCCATGTCGTCCATCCCTTATGGTTTAACCAGGAATAGGCCGGAGTTAAGTAAAGTAAATAGTGACTCAGGTATATCTACACGAGAAAATTACTGCAATTTGATATAATAGCCATTGGTAAACTAGTCATACCTTTGTTAAGATTATAAAAACCGAATGTGCTATAAGGGCTGACATAAAACGTGTTTATTTTCAGATTAATGATTGTTCTCAAACCTGTAGGTGTTGGTTTATAGTGAATAAAATGATGATTGCATACAGTCAACCAGTCACCAGTGAAACAGTGGATAACCCATTCATTCCAGCTGATGTTTACCTTTGTCAGTAATTTAACACTGCCTGTATTTCACAAAAGAAGCAGTCCATGTCAACCATACAAAACTGAGGATCCCATTCGGGATAAATAAATCTATGCATATAAGTAGGGCGAAGAATAAAAAGCCGTATTCATGATCACGCTAAATAACATGAACGTTTGTCAGAGAAAAAAGTGGCTTCAAAAATGAAATATAAAGATAAACGATGTTAATCTACAACCCATACTCTCTCTCTCTCTCTCTCTCTCTCTCTCATACACACATACACACATAATTAAAACAGAAATGTGTTTATGCTTATAAATTATAATAGTGCGTTTAAAGGTTTTAATCTAAAAACTCTCTGTGCATTATCCCAGAATTGTCCTAAATGCTCCTTTATTTCAGTAATGTAATTGGGTTATTGAATGTTACAGCACTCATTTACTGGGTGGGAGCCATACTACATGCAATACTTTTGTATAATATTATGTAATACCATAGTATAAACACCATATACAGATATGTGCGTATGTGAGGGTAATCACCTTGAACTCATCGACGCCTCATACATAGGGACCTGTTGTTTTTTATTTCACGTATTTTGAAACACACTTTAATTAATACTGTGGAATACTTAGCCTGTATCGATTCGTGTAGGTGTAAGCATATTTATCTGCTGGTGCATTACGTTTAATAGAACAGGGACAGAATCACTGACGTCTGCGGCACCGGATGTCAAACAGGTGAGCGTTGCTTTTGTCTTGGGAACTGGGGCAGCCACCTTGGCGTCAGTTTTGTTAACTGTACCCATCCCAGTTGGTGCAATAGAGCTCCTGGGAACAGCAGCCCTCTGTAATTCCTGTCAAGGTTGAACTTCTTCGATGTGTTTTCATTATTCACCCAATGTTTCGATCTGTTTCTGCAATGCTTTGATAATTTCATTTTGGATTTCTGGACTTTGTATGCAGTTATTTTATCTGCAAATTTACTAAAGGCCCCGTCACACTTATTCGGAATCAGCAGGAATCAAGCAGAATGAGCCTAAATGAAAAATTTTCAAAATTCGCACCACATTCGGGAAGAAAGTTCAAATTGACCTACCGTATATTCTTGTAAGAGTACCGTTGGAATTAGCATTAAATAAGTAACATCCCCCTCGAGATCCAAATATTATTTCAGAAATGTCAAAATATCATAGAATCGCATATTTTTTTTTCCAATTGCACCAAGTACTTGAACAAAAAGAAACTTTTTGACAATGTTTCTGGTGAAGATACGTTACGTAGTATTAGTCATGACGCAAAGCCCCTTGAGTCACAGTTTAAATATAAAAACACATCCTTACATCATGCATTATTTACCATGACTGAATCACTAAAAATAAATCGGAACGTGGTATAAAAATTATAATTAAATGACACGGAACATACGTTACCATTTAGAGCTCTTTACGTAATGTAAAGACACGGTAAAAGTTAAAATTTAAATTGAGACTGTCGTGGATTTTTGTATACAATATTTTTACTTATATAGATACAACTTTGATTAAGCATGTAAACTGCACCTCTATATTGGGTTTGCGTGTGCAATCGGGTCTCTCCTCTTTTATTTTATAGATCAAGGCCGGACGAAAGCACTCTTCTGAGCCTCGGAGATGATTAGAATTTTTCAAGTTTACACAGATGGGCATCTAATTTTTATGTCGGAAATTCAACATATAATTCAGATGACTAAAAAAATATCCGTTAATCTGCCCCTATATATGTATATACACACACTGGACAATAGAAGTGTCACCCCTACTGAGCCAAAACTTTGGGGGATATAAATGACTGCTCCTGGAATAATTTTATTTAAATCAAATTACACAAAAAGACCAACAATACAATTCCATGGTACAGCGATTTTATACTCATTAGATACATTATAAGTAGACCAGGCATTATAACTACTCAATATCTACCTACTTTGATTACCATCAAGTCCTACACAAAAAGCTGCAGCTGTACAAATGTAATGACCAAGCACTCTCATTGTTTACATCATATCTCACAAACAGGAAACAGCAGACAATATTTCAAAATGAAATATCTGAACCCGTACCAATCACTTGTGGAGTCTCCCAAGTCTCTCCAAATGGAAGGGAACAAACGCTTCGGGTTTTATATACTTTTATTACGGAAGTATGTCAAATGATGACTCTAAATTCAAAAGTGTGGCTCTTAAAACTCTTGTCGGTCCACGCCAAATTTTTTTACCGGTCCAGACAAATTTTCCCGGTCATGACCGATCGGATCGACAGATTCATTCAATGGTGACTGTATAATTACAGTCACTGCTAAATCTGTACCAGAACTAAATGTCAAATTAAATAAGAGCATGGAACATGTTTTATTGTGGTTCAGGTGACATATATGAAAAAAAAAAAATCAATGCTTATAACAACTAGACAAAAACGTGCAAAAATACCAAAAACTGAACAGCCATTAAAAGTTATGTTCAATGGGGACATTTTAGATAATGTACAAACAAAAAACTATAAGGTGTATACGTTAATGAAAATCTTAGCTGGAATGACTATGTGCAGAATTTGAAAAAAGAATTAACAGTAAACTTTCCCTTCTGTCCAAACTAAAACGGCACTTAACATTGGAAACAAGGGCACTGTTTTATAATACACATTTACTACCACATCTGGATCACTGCTGCATTATATGGAGCAGCTGTGCACAACTAGAAAATATAGACAAATTCCAAAAACGTGGAGCAAAAATCATTCTCGATATCCCAGATAAAGAAGCCAAGAAACAATATATCCAACAACTGAACTACTGAAGAAACTAAAATGGCAAACAATCTATGAAAGGATAGAATTTTAGAAAGCAACATTAGTTCTTAAAGCTTAAATGGACTTTCACCTAAATACATCAAAGACTTACTGGGAATTACAACTATAGACACTCTGCAAGCAGAATCACCCGATCAAATAATAAGGGAAATATCTATTTACCAGTTGGCAGACATAAAGTCATACTATATGTAACTAAAGGCCCAGTATGGACCTCGATTAAAATATGGAACTCCCTACACTCTGAAATAAAAAAAACCCCAAAGACTTGTATACTTTTAAAATACTGTTTTAAAAAAAACAAAAATTAATCTTAAGTATTTACTTTTAAGTCATGTAGCTCTAGGATTTTTACTAACATATAATGTCTTCTGTCTTATTATTTTTGTTCTTCAAACTTCATTTTTACCTCATTGTCATTTTAATTTCATAACTTATTCATTTTTTATTCATTAGCACAATATTTCATTTTAACCCCCTAGAGGGCCATGTGTAAGCTAATTGTGAGCACTTAACATGTTTTCGCCTCTTTAAATAAAGTTTATTATTATTATTATTACTATTATTATTATTATTATTATTATTATTATTACTCTGATTCAGGGGTGATACTCCTATTGTCCATTGTGTGCACATGTATTTCTCGATTTAAGAGAGGTTACATTAACCAGGCAAATATATGAACGTCTTGGTAAAACTGTATTCTCATGGGGCAGGAGTATATATAACACACCACTCGTCTTGTCTGGAGGAGCTGCAGCCATATTGACTCGTGTCCTGGCTGGGAATCTGAGGCGTGTAGCTGTTATTCCTCGTGGAACGACACCGACGCCAAAGAAGGTAAAAAGGCAAACAGCTGGCGGTGAGACACATTCCCAGGAACAATAGTCCCAACTGTGAAAATTAAATAAAAGACATATATTTATTTACCACGCCGAGTTTTCACCATTATCACACTATAAATCAAAGTATTGGAACTATTGTTGTTTCTTACAATAAGAGTTTTACAGTAGTCGGTAGTCAACACCAAGCTTTGAAAAGTAATTTAAACCCACTATTTGTTTTGCAGTTGTTCGTGATTTGCATCGTGTCGCCATGTGGAGATTTGATTACTTAATTTAACTCTATATTACCTGATATATAACAATGTCGGTTCCCATACTTACCCAGAATGGGTCACTTTCCAGGCTGTACTTATACCAGGCGAATATTGGATACTCAACAAAGGTGAACAAAAATCCGATACCAATTTGTATTCCATAGGTCTTCCCAAAATGTTCTTTTGGAAACCTATAATTTGAATGTTTTAATGGCATTATACCGTGTAAATATTGCTTTTTTTAAACCAAAGAAGCTTACTGGAAAGGTGGAAATACATGCTCGTAGACGGAGTCACCAAATCTATACTTACGCGGAAGCTATATAGGTCATATTTGTGGCGTAACTCCCGGTTTTCAACATAGAATGAAACAAAATGGCCACAAACTGCAACTCGATAATGGGGATGATGCACGCAATGGAGGCGATGAATCCTGCCAAAACTGTGAGGAAAAATGGAACCACGAAGCATCGCTCTTTTTCTGAAATATGCATGTATAATGGTATCAGTACATGAATAATATACGTGTTTCTCCAATACCATGTCTATACTGTATTAGTATATCGCATGTTTTAATAATGTGAAGATAATCGGTATATATATTACTCATAAATGGTCTTGAGTAAGCTCCAATTGTCAGGGAATACAGATGCACTTTCTCTCTATACGAAGAGTGTCATTTCCGTTGCTGTCAACAAAAATCATGAAATATCCAGTGTCATTTCTCCCATTATGTTGTGTAGGCGGGTCGATTCAGTTTGATCATAATGCATAGAGACTATAAGATGAGAGAACAAAAGTTGCCACTGTTGTCTCAGAGGGTTTATGATATAGCATGGCATTTCAACTTTGATGCAGATAATCTCTTTCAAAGTTAAATGATTTACGATTTTACTCTGACGTCCATCTAAATTCCGTTGTTGGCTTTATTGAAATTAATATATTGAAGTAATCGTTAGACAGCGACGGCTCACAAAACCATGGCAACACCATATGGAAAATAGCCACAGAAGCTACTATTTTTAAATTGTTACGATACACGATGAACATCCGCTGCAGCTATAACCTGAAATCGTGTATATGATCTTAAAAAAAGGAAACAAGCCACATCTCGACTAGGTAATATCACATTCATGTTATTTACCGTATGTGGTTGCCCTGGAAACAAGTTTATCCAACATCAAACCAGTCAGCAAGGCCCAGAACAGAGAACCCACTTGGAACCAGGAATACACGTCTGTATACGTACTTACTGAAATGCAATTAGAACTAGTATGGATAGATTCACGTTGTCTTTTGTGTAAAGATGGCGAAAATTAAAGGACACAAGAAAGATAGAAAGAGATGCATGCGTTGCACGTTAAACATGTTTATGCAGCAAACAGGTTACAGTGATAATATACGTGTAAACCAATTACCTTTATCTTTGACATTATTTCCATAGTAATTGATTATTGCGTAAAAACTGCCTTGATATGTGACAATGAGGGTATTTTGGCACAAAAACCACAGCATCAACACCCAAAATGCTGGGAGTTTGAGGATCAGTAGCGTGTCATGTAGAAAGCAGTTGTTAGCACTTTCGCCATTTTCCTTGCTTAGAGAGTTTTCTATTTCGCACGATATCTGCTCAATTACGTCGACTTGCATTTCTGTATGATTGATATTATTCTTATTTTGACAACTGGTGGCTTTATTAAAATCATGATGGCCAATAATTTCATCAGCTTCTTCCCGAGTGACATCTCCATCTGCTTTCACTTTACTTGTTAACTCTGGAGTGATATTTCCAATGAAACGAACACCACACTTTTGTTCTGTACTTTCATCATCAAGTTTGTATGCTGTCTTTGGCAAACTTTGCTCTAAAACTTGATTATTATCAATCGTTTCATTTGTTGCTGGTACATTCAAGTCAGGTTGGTCGGCGTTTCTACAAGTATTGGTGTTGGGTTTAGATGATTTTTCAGTAACACCTTGCCGCTTGCGTATCTTTAAGCAACAATCTTTGTCAATGTTGTTCCCGTCGTCATCTTGTCTAGGTGGAAGGGTGATTGTGTTGACAGAAGACAGAAAAAGTATGATAGCGGCAAAGGTGAACATGCACGTTTTATACGAAACTCCGGTCTGGTACGCCATCTGCAATTGGATAAATAACGTGCTATTTGAAAAATGTAGTTTATTCTAGATATATTAAAAATTGCAAAATTCCAAATACGTATGAGTTTATATAGTATGGGGACCGTTAAATACCAACAACAGCACTGATATGAATGATAAATTGTAACGTTTATGGTACTTTATATGGCGTTGCGGACATTTTTGTTTTGAAAAATCTTTCAGGAAGGTTACTTTTGTCTTCAAAGATAAGTGTCCGTAACTACTAGTTGTCACTAGATGAATTAGTTTATGCCACATCAAACAGGTAATTACCGATGCGTTCGACAGGTTTTAAGGGACAAAGCAAACACGTTTAACATTACCTTTAACAGAATAGGAGCAAAACCACTGACGTCCATGGCACCGGAAATCAGACAAATGAGTGTTGACCTTAGCTTAGGAAATAGTACAGCCACTTGGACGTCAGTTACTGCCAGCTGGATGCTTCCAAGCAAGTGAAATACAGCCCCAGGGAATAACAGCCATTCTGTTCCTATAAAGAATATTAAATGCCTCGATCTTGATTATAGCCTCAATTCTCCAGGAATTAATAATTTAATAACTTCATTTTGGTTTTCTGGTCATTATATACAGCAGTTTATTTACATGAACTGAAACAAAATTTGAAAAAACCTATAACCCTGAGGACATCAGACCAATACAGTGTATCACTGATCATAGATCGATGCTTATTGGAAGTTATTACTTATTA